GTGTGTGTGTGTGTGTGTGTGTGTGTGTGTGTGTGTGTGTGTGTGTGTGTGTGTTGGGGGGAGAGCGCTCTGCCATGAAGAAGCTCAGCTTAACTTAGCTGTTATGCTTAGCCTTTTTACATGTTTAGCAGTTTAGCATTAGCAAAGCTATAGTTTTACTTAGCGGATCATGAATAAGCAAAGACAACTTGTTAGCTAGCTGTCCCCAGCACTGCTGGGATTGCCATGACTCATTCCTACACATTTCCCCATCAATATTTTCACTTTTTTTCACTCATTTTGCCAGCACAGGGTCATATTTATTAATATTCTGGCACCAAACAGACACAAAGAGTCTCACAGCGACTACACAACCCGCCTCGTTACCAAGCGTTTTTGTAGGTTCTGAGAACAGATCAGTCCTTTGGTTTGAGGCCTCAGCTGATACGGAGAGTTAAAACATCATTTTAGTGTAAAGTTACGTCATTAKAAAGACCAGAAGCCAACAGAAGATTCAAATGTAATGAAATGATTCATATGAATGTTGGATAAAAATATTTTAAATTAGAAAAACACAATAAAGTAAAAAGTTAAAGATCAAAGGTTTGATTCCAGCTGGTTTTCAGCTTGTCTGGTGTCTGYTGTGGTTCTGAGGGTCTTGTTTGTCTTAACTGGAGGTCTGCCTGTTTTCTAGAGCAACAAAAATGTCAAAAACAGCAAMATCATTCACACCTGTGAACACAAACATTGTTTTTATTTTTTGAGTTTTGTTTCCCGGGTAAACGATTTTCTTGTTGTTGTTGTTGTTTGTCTTGGTGAGTTCCCTTTTCCATCTTTGCTACATTTATTCCCTTTCTGTTAATCAAACTTCCTCCTTAAAGACACAAATGGACGTGCTGAAACACATGAACACGTGGGAAAAGAATAACACAGATTTATTGCTTCCGGTCATGACGTCTGCTTTCCTCCCTTGGAAACGTGTGTTTTGTGTGTGTGCAGCCCAGCACACACTGTGTAACTGCGGGGTGACCCGGTCAAATGCTGTATGAGTCATAAGTTGTGAAATCCGTTCATATGACTCTTTAAAAAAACAAAACAAAGCAGCTTTCCAGGAGAGCAACTTTAAACAGTGAAATCCACTGAATCACATTAAAGGGATAGTTAGGTTACTTTGTTAAAAGAGATGTTCTGTGGAGTTGTTATTGGTAATCAAAATCTTACATGCAATAGATCAGGTTTAGCAGATTAATCAGAGATTTTTAAACAGCTATAGTCTCGAAAAAGTTTTACTTTTACATCTCGTTGTGCTGTAGATGCTTATTTATATTTCAAAGAAATGTTTCAACAAATTCTTAACCCAGGTGAAAGTTACGTTGCAAAACTGAACATGTTAAACATAAACGGGCAAAGTACMTACTAACAGAAAGGAAGATGAAGTAAAATTTGTAAAGTAAAAGTAAGACAACRGGAATGTTACAAACACAAAAAATACTAGCCTTAATGTCCCGAATACAGCGGGTAAAATAAGTATTGAACACGTCACCATTTTTCTCAGTAAATATATTACTAGAGGTGCTAATGACATGAAAT